GGGCCCAGGTGCAGGGGCCCAGGTGCGGGGGCCCAGGTGTGGGGGCCCATGTGTGGGAGCCCAGGTGCGGGGGTCCAGGTGCGGGGGCCCAGGTGCGGGGGCCCAGGTGCGGGGGTCCAGGTGCACGGGCCCAGGTGCGCGGGCCCAGGTGCGCGGGCCCAGGTGAGGGGACCCAGGTGTGCAGGCCCAGGTGCGCGGGCCCAGTCTGTGGGTGACACGGGAGGGAAATGCCAGCCAAGGGAGGAAACCCCCCGCCTCCCGCTCAGCTCCGCTCTGCGGTGGACTCGCGGTGACCCTGGGCGCACCCGTGCGCGATCTTCACGCAGGAGAGACGCGTCACTGACCCCCCTTCCTCTTTCCTGCGTCTCAGATCTGGTTCTACACCAACAGCATCTTCGCAACGGCTGGGATCCCTGCGGAAAACATCCCCTACATCACCTTGAGCACGGGGGGCATCGAGACCTTGGCTGCCATCTTCTCTGTGAGTGAGTGGGGGGAGGCGTCTTCCTGGAAACACCCTGGGGGAGGGTCTGCCAGCACCTCGGCACCCAGGCAGCACCCCAGGGCCCCCGGCTCCTGGGGAGAGCACGCCTCTGTCACGCCAGCGGGGTGTGAGCCGTAGAGTCCATCTTGTGGCTCAGCCTTGACTTTTCACCCACTGAAGAACATTCTTCCTACGTGCTGCTTCCCTGGCATCCTTCAAACACAATTGCTCCTCCACTGAGCCCTCGCCTGCGTTCAAACGGCGCCAGGAGAGCCGTGCCGATGTCCCCGTTCCCCCGGCGCCAGCCGGCGCGCGAGCCGGAGCCTGCTGCCAGCTTGCTGAGCCCTCAGCCGCCGCCTCGCTACGGCCCACACCCAGAGCCCGGGCCCTCACTGAGACAAACTCCTGGGGAGCGCAGGGGGCCCGCCGAGGCCTCGCTGGACACGCTGGAGGTGGACGGGGCGGTCAGGCTGTGAGGCCGCCTCGGGCTTGTTGACGGGAGGGCGGGGTGCCGGCTGTGGACCCCGAGCGGGTGTGCGTGTGCGCACCTGTGCCTCGGGGCGACGGGCCCCAGGGCGCGTTTCCCTGGAGCGTGAGGCCAGGAGAGGCGCAGAGGAAGCCCAGAGGACAGGGCGCGGGCAGTTCCAGGGCTCCGGTCACTGCATCCAGCCGGCTTGAAAGCCTCGAAGATGACCCAAGCTCCGAAAATCCCCCTCAGATTGCGGGCGCCCACGGGGGTGGCTGCCGAACTGCCGTCCACGAGGGAACCAGCGCAGGAAGGGGAGGTGGCCTGGCTCTGGGGGAGTGAGGGGCTGAGACCTCCCTGCGGGTGGAGGCCCGGCGCACCCTGTGGCTGGGCTCTGCCGGCTGCGCAGACCGGCCCCCCTCCTCCAGGGAGCTCTGGAATAAGCTCTCGGGGTCTGGCGTGTCTGGGTGCTGCTCTCCAGCGTGTGGTCAGCCAGACCGTCTTCTGCCTCGGGCGCTCATCGCCTCCCCATTCAACGGAAGGGGCCAGAGACTTTCCAGTGAACCTGTGGGGCAGGGGAGGGGTGATCACGACAAGCAGCGAGGTCCCAAAGAAGACACAGCTCGCCCCTCTCTCTCAACCTGCAGAAGAGCCACACAGGCGCCCTCGGAGGCTGGGGCTGCACACTGAGCCGCATTTGAGTGTCGGCTCTGAAACTCCCGAGCTCTGAGCTTGTGACCCCTTCACCCGCTGTCCGTGGGGGACTGCTGGGGCCTCCCCTGCCGTCCGTGGGGGACTGCTGGGGCCTCCCCTGCCGTC